CAGTTCGATCTGATTGTAAAACCAAGTAGCAGTGATTGTAGGACTGTAGTACCAGTGACTGTAGGACAAGTGACTAAATTTTATATAATTTTCACTTCCAGCTAAATTTCCCCCTTCTCTTCCTCTGAAATGTTTAACAGAACGGGCAGGGAGGGTGAAAATCTCGGAGATGGCTTTGTGTTACAACGATCGACTGGATCGAATGGGAAAAAGGAAACAAGAAAGACAAGAGAAGACAAGAAAAGACAAGAAAAGAGAAAAGAAAAGAAAGACAAAAGAAAAGAAAGAAAAAAGGAGAAAGAGATCTTGGTCTCAGCTCTTTAAATCATTCACTTTTAGCCTCATCCCTTTTCTTTTTCAAAGCCAAGTCGTGCTCGACGCCTACACACACGTCAAAGGGAAGGAAAAGAGAAGGAAAAGGAAAGGATTCCCTTGGGTCCCGTTTGGAGGAAATCTTTTCCCTATCATTCTTTTCATTTCTTTTTCCTCTTTTTATCAACAACAACAATTTATTGATCAATTTGGATTAATTTTTTGAAGTACAGAATTTCCAGGATTCCAGGATTGTGCCAGGATTGTTCCAGGATTGTTCCAGGTTTGTTCCAGGATTCTAGAACCCCGGATTGTTCCAGGATTCCAGGAGCTGGGACTGTTTCAGGATTCTAGGAGCCAGGATTCCAGGAGTCAGAAATGTTCCAATTTCTGTTCTTACCTGGCCTGGCTTTACTGTAGACTTATTTCTGAGCCTGGCCTGGCTTCCTAGACCTTCTGGGATTCCAGAAGCCAGGATAGTTCCAGGATTCCAGGAGCCAGGATTCCAGGAGCTGGGATTGTTCCAGGATTCCAGGAGCCAGAATTCCAGAAGCCAGGATAGTTCCAGGATTCCAGAAGCCAGGATTGTTCCAGGGCTCCAGGAGCCAGGATTATTCCAATTTCTGTTCTTACCCGACCTGGCTTTACTGTAGACTTATTTCTGAGCCTGGCCTGGCTTCCTAGACCTGGCTCCCGGCTAAGCTTTGGCTTGTCCCGGTTTTCTTTAAGACCTGGTCTGGTCTGGCTTTCTAGACACATTACTACTTTGCTAACGTCGAGCCTCGTTTGATCCGTTGATAGCTGTCTTTACTAAACTCTGACCCAACTTTTGTCCAACAGTCAAGACCCTGGCCTGGTCCTAGAGTTATTGTTTTTAAAAAATTAAATTAAAAAACAATTCAGAATTTTAATCTGACTATAAAGTTTGTGATTTGCCCCTTTTCCCCAAAAAATTCTCAACTTCTTTTCTTCATTCTGTCAATAGATTTCACTATTCAAAAATGTGTGACTTTTCTCTTTTAGCGTTTTCTGAAATGCCTATTTGAGAAAAGGAGAAACTCGATTTTCTCCAAAAAAAAAAAAAGCTATTGAAAGACCCAAAAAGACCCAGAAATAGCAGAATTCACTTATTGACTTTTTGAAAGACAGCCTTTGAAAGACTTTAAAAGATCTAGTAAGATCTAATATTAAGAAATTATTAGGTTGATGCAAAAGTCTTTTTCATTTTTTTCGTGCTTCTTTTGAAAAATAACAAAGTCATCAATTAACCTATGGTTTGCTCTAAATGAAAAGTGTTTATTGTTGAATTTCCCATCTTTTTAAGTCAATTTGGGTTCACTTTCTCAACTAAATGATGGTCAATTTGGAAAATTTACTGTAGACTTTCCTTTAGAATTTTCCCTGTTCTACTTGATTTTGTTTCGATGAGATTCACAGTTTGATTCCACATAGAATCTGAGCAAAATTAGGTTTATGGATAGCTTTTTACGGGACAAGTGGATGGCGAGTTCGAGTTGGCGGTGACGAGACTCAGTACTTTGTAGGTAGAATTGAAACCGCCACCGATTCATCCCCGAAAAACATCCAAGCTTCGTTTCTACGTAGCTATTTTGTGTAGTACAAGCTATTTTTCCGAGCTATTAGCTACAAGCTATTACATGAGGGGTTTTCTGGAGGAAACCCTGTGTGACACGTGAGTGCTAAAGCATTTAATAGGTTGATGCAAAAGTCTTTTTCATTTTTTTCGTACTTCCGTTAAAAAGTAACAAATGCACCAATTGAACAACGGTTTATTGCATTCGAAAGGCCAATTATTTTTCTGCAAAATGACATTAAAACGAGTTTAAAATGTCTTATGTCTAGATTTTTTTTGAGAGCCTGAAGTCGGGTAGTCAAAAAAGGCGACGGCTCGATGATGCATTTTAGACGCTTTAGCTAAGGAAACCAATCTTGATGTTAATAAATAAAAGATAGAGCACAAAAAGTTAGATATTTTTTCAGATTTTCAGAGAAATTGATTCAGCCAATTTCTTTATAGAGGTTTTTATAGATTTTTATGAAAAACCCGTTTTCACTCTCGAATTTGCTTGAAAGTGAACCCAAATTGACTTAAAAAGATGGGAAATTCAACAATAAACACTTTTCATTTAGAGCAAACCATAGGTTAATTGATGACTTTTTTATTTTTCAAAAGAAGTACGAAAAAAAATGAAAAAGACTTTTGCATCAACCTAATAGATAGACAACTCTGTCTAATTTCTTAGTATCGAAAAATTCGCCTACCAAATGAATTTGAATGTGTATTTCCGATCGAAATCCATCCCCCGCGCTGATTACTGTGATTTCTATGAAAGGTTAGTGAAAAAGACAAACTTTATTACACGTTTTTTTCTGCTTTTTCTGTTTGTTCTGTTTTTTCTGTTTTTTTGATTACTTTTTGTTCTATTGAAGCATTGAATTCTTGTATTTTCTTATTTTTCGATTTTCTTTCTGAATCCTCACAGAATCAGACAAAAAGTTGATAGATTCAATAGAAATTAGAGACAAAATTACTGAAGAAAGAGAAGGAGAATAAAACGAATATCTCCAATCGATTCCTCGACCTCGAAAACTCGCGGGTACTAATTTAGAGCTGAATATCTTCTTTTTGTACCATCAACAAATCAATAGAAAGAGGTGTTCCTTGTGCGATCGCGTAATCGCTCGCGATCTGGCACACGCCCCCGGGATATAGATATTCTCTTTTGGAACCCTATTCATGAATTCATCCAAAAGTGGCCACATCCTTAACTTCATCCAAAAGCTGCCATGTCCCTAACTTCATCTAAAAGCTGCCATACCCATGACTTCATCTAAAAGCTGCCGTATTTATGACTTCATCTAAAAGCTGCCGTATCCATGACTTCATCTAAAAGTTCCCATATCCATGGCTTCATCTAAAAGCTGCCGTATCCATGACTTCATCTAAAAGTTCCCACATCCATGACTTCATCTAAAAGCTGCCGTATCCATGGCTTCATCTAAAAGTTCCCGTATCCATGACTTCATCTAAAAGCTGCCGTATCTCTAACTTCATCTAAAAGTTCCCAGATCCATGACTTCATCTAAAAGTTGCCGTATCCATGACTTCATTCTTAAATTTTTTTTGTTTTATATTATACAACTATATTAGATTTCAAGACTTTTTAAAAATTCTTGCACTCTGATAGAGGTGTTCCCTTTTGAAATTCGTAAAGTGGAAGAGTGACTGAGCCACTGTCGCTGTTTTCGGCGTCACTGTGCTCAAATTTTAAGCTATTAGTTTTAAGCTTTAGTTTTAAGCTTTTATTGGATTGGTGAATTGAAAACTGCGGGCTATTGTCATATGTCCCAGTTTGAGCACTTTCTTCAAAAGAAACCCATTTTGGTGTCAATGGAAAAGTTGTAGAGAATCAAAAATGAAGCTTATATCCAAATTTTCAGAACAATTCAAAAACTGGTTTTCAAGAAATGCCAAATTTACACCAAATTGTGCCAATTTTTCACAAAACTTGCATTTTAGGCAAAACTACTAAGTGTATCTTTTTGGAAAATTGGCTATAAGCCTAATTTTTGATTCTCTACAACTTTTCCATTGACACCAAAATGGGTTTCCTTTGAAGAAAGTGCTCAAACTGGGACATTCCTCCATTTTTGAGTCTCCAGTCCTCCATTTTTGAGTCTCACACTTGTCTCACACACAAACCAAAGTCCTACCACGAAAGAGGAATCCACAAATTGCCTAAAAAATGGGCAGAAATCGTCAATAATAATGGAAATTATTTGGAATGAATTGATGGTTTTGTGTTGAATAAATCTTAGTTTAAAGTCCGGCAATTTTCAATTCACCAACCCAATAGTTTTAAGCTTTTATTGCGTCAGCAAGCCAATTACAAAAATAAAATAATGATTTGATCCGTCTTCGCACTTAGCGCAGATCACAACCCGCTTCCACATTTACTGAGGCAGAAGTGTGGTTGTCGTAGCCGATGATACTCCGATGGCCGGGCTGGGGCGCTCGGAGGGGAACCCATGGGAGTCGAACCCACGACTAACCCGCGCCGACGTTGCTCAACTTGGCAGATCGGACGGGGTCGACCACAGACTAGACATGGGAAAATTCCAACCGAAACCTAATTCCACCTTCGTTTTCTCGGCCGTCTCTTGGTCGATTGTTCTGAAATTTTGTTTACAAATAGAAATTAGCATTCTCTGTTTGTAAACAAAATTTCAGAACAATCGACCAAGAGACGGCCGAGAAAACGAAGGTGGAATTAGGTTTCGGTTGGAATTTTCCCATGTCTACCACAGACCCTTCCCTTTCTGGGCCCCAAGCCAATTACAACTAAATTACATTTTTAAAAGTATTTAAAAGCTTATTTGAATCGAAAATTTCTATCAAAATAACATTGGCAATTTTCCCCCGGTTTTCTATACATTTGACTCATCATTGAAAGAAAGAAAGATTCCCTGTCGATTCCCCTCACGATTCTCCTCACAAATGATACATCGAAACGCTTTCTCCAAAAACATTCGCGCGTTTTCGCAAGACAAAATTTTATTTCCTATTTTTCAGCTTATTTTTTCAGCTATTTTTTCAGCTATTTGAAATATTACAATATTGAAATTTCACAATATTGAATTTTTTTTAAGGATTAAACCCTTTTTTTATGCCTTTCAATGTCACTTACGAATCTGGAGATGATTTGGTGGAAATTGTGGAGAGATTCACTGAAGAGCTCATCGATTTGGACATTCAGTTGACGCAAGAGGAGAGGTACTATTGGAAATTGGAAATTTGTAGATTAATAATTGGAAATTTGTAAGTTAGGGATTAAGTAGAATTGGCAACAAGTACGCAAGCACTAAATAAAGCTGTGCAACTTTTCCGAACGCAACAAGTTGCAAGAATGCTGAGCAAGTGTTAACACTGTCTACTTGGTCCAGATGCTGCTCGTATTATCGATTTGATTTTTTTGTTGATTCGTTGATGTTATAGTAGTCTACGGTCACCGGGGTTACGGCAATCTTATGGCTACAGTAACCTTATGGCTACGGTAATCTTATGGCTACAGTAATCTTATGGATACGGTAATCTTATGGCTACAGTAATCTTATGGTTACGGTAATCTTATTATGGCTACAGTAATCTTATGGTTACGGTAATCTTATGGCTACAGTAATCTTATGGTTACGGTAATCTTATGGCTACAGTAATCTTATGGTTACGGTAATCTTATGGCTACAGTAATCTTATGGCTACGGTAATCTTATGGCTACAGTAATCTTATGGTTACGGTAATCTTATTATGGCTACAGTAATCTTATGGCTACAGTAATCTTATGGTTACGGTAATCTTATGGTTACGGTATCACCAAGATTACTAAAATCGTTAGATTCGGGTTTAGGCTTAGGCTTTGGTTAGGGCGATCTTACAACTATAGTATCATCTAGATTACGGTAATCTTAAGGCTACAGTATTGCTGGTTACGGTAATCCTATGGCTACAGTATTGCTGGTTACAATAATCTTATGTCTACGGTATCACCAAGATTACAATAATTGTTAGATTCGGGTTTATGCTTAGGCTTTGGTTAGGGCAATCTTACAGCTATAGTATCATCTAGATTACGGTAATCCTATGGCTACAGTATTGCTGGATTACGGTAATCTTATGGCTAAAGTCCCTGGGGGTTACGGTAATCTTATAGCTCAGCTACTAGTCAGGTTACAGGCTACAGTAGTCGTGCTATTCTTTGCTTTGTTTAAAGCGCTATTCTCTTCTTTGTTTAAAACGCTATTCTCTGCTTTGTTTAGAAACAAATTCTCCTGACAAAATTTGCCTTTCTGGCTTCTCCTGACAAAATTTGATCTAGAAAAGCCGCAAATCGGCATCGAAAAGATTCGAAATTGAGTCACAAAGATGAAAAACAAAAACACTGCCATTGAAGCATCCAACTCTCCTCAACTTTATCCCTTTTCAGCAAAGAGTGGTGCGTTTTCTGTGAGAATCACTCAAAATACCGCCAAGAGCTTATTGAGATGGATTTGGAAGTGAAACAAGGAGAAAGGTTGTGAAAATTGGAAGCTTTTTCATTTTTTTTATTGTTTCAGTGAGCAAAGACATCTTGATTTCACCGTTTTCGAGCCAAATTTCCACGCGCTTTTCGCTTGTTTCAAGCTTTGTTTAAAAGAAGCGATTCGAATTGAAAGAAATCATTCGAGAAAAGAAATTATTGAACTTGATGTCGATGTGAAGCAAATGGATAGGTGAATAGTCTTCTTTGCTATTGGGTTGTCCAGTTATGAATGCGCATTTTTTACTATAGAGCCAGCTCTCGGGACTCAGAGCCAGCTCTCAGAACTCGGAGCCAGCTCTCAGGACTCAGAGCCAGCTCACGGGACTCAGAGCCAGCTCTCAGAACTCGGAGCCAGCTCTCAGGACTCAGAGCCAGCTCACGGGACTCAGAGCCAGCTCTCAGGACTCAGAGCCAGCTCTCGGGACTCAGAGCCAGCTCACGGGACTCAGAGCCAGCTCTCAGAACTCGGAGCCAGCTCTCAGGACTCAGAGCCAGCTCTCGGGACTCAGAGCCAGCTCTCAGGACTCAGAGCCAGCTCACGGGACTCAGAGCCAGCTCACGGGACTCAGAGCCAGCTCTCAGGACTCGGAGCCAGCTCTCAGGACTCAGAGCCAGCTCTCGGGACTCAGAGCCAGCTCACGGGACTCAGAGCCAGCTCTCAGGACTCGGAGCCAGCTCTCAGGACTCAGAGCCAGCTCTCGGGACTCAGAGCCAGCTCACGGGACTCAGAGCCAGCTCTCAGAACTCGGAGCCAGCTCTCAGGACTCAGAGCCAGCTCACGGGACTCAGAGCCAGCCGAGGTGCCTTTGGATCAAGTTTTGGCTTTGCTCAAATTGAGTTAACCGTTTGATGTTTGACCAAATAGATATATAAATACAACTTTTTTAAAAAATATAACAATTTCAGAGCATCTTTACTTTTCTTTTCTTTTCTGGACAGTTATTTTACACCATAAAATTTGAGGAATAGCTAAGCTGGAATGGGTTTTTTTTTTGAAAACGATCTCTCCCCTTTGTACAGTCAATTTCCCAAAAAGTTGAATGAATTCAAAAACTTTTTTATTCCAAAATGTAGAGGAGATCTTTAGCTTTCGAATGATATATAACACTCATAAAAATCTGTTCGATATCTTGAGAAATTTAAAAAATAGTAAAAACGCGCATTCATAACTGGACAACCCAATATTTCAGCTGGTATTTGTGGCTGAGTAGATCAGACATCTGTACACAAACAAGTGTCTAGTTAGAGCACTAGTTCTAGTTCTAGAGTTGCAGCTCTAGCTCTAGTTCTAGCTCTAGCTCTAGCTGCAGCTCTAGTTCTAGCTCTAGCTCTAGCTGCAGCTCTAGCTCTAGCTCTAGTTCTAGCTCTAGCTCTAGCTGCAGCTCTAGCTCTAGTTCTAGCTCTAGCTCTAGTTCTAGCTCTAGCTCTGGCTCTAGCTCTAGTTGATAGGTGAATGGTCTTTTTTGCTATTGTATTTATCTTTGCTATTTTAATGTATCTTTTAGCATTGATTCGGTTTGTTTGTTTTCATTGCCAAGCCAACAATTTTCCTTCAAAACCCTACCAAGCACCAGTAACGAGGAAACTTGTTTAAAGTGTCATTTCATCAATCAAGATTGGTTCGTTTAATTTGCTTTGAAGTTCTCTAAGTTCTCTAAGCTCTCTATGTTCTCTATCTTCTCTAAGCTCTCTATGTTCTCCGTAAAACAATCTTTCTAATGTTTAGTCACAGCAATGAGTCAACGCTTATTCGGTTGCCATCGACAAATTGCGCTGAGGAAAGGAAAATGAGAGACGAGAAGTTGTGGAAATTGAGAGACCAAAAGTTTCTGCACAAATTTTTGCTAAAATTTGTTAACTTGACTGAGGAAAGTTGGAAATTCAACTTTTTTTAATGAAAAATTTAATCGAATTATAATTGACGTCAGAAAATTACGTAAGAAACTCACGTTCGCGTTTTCCGTGTAATCTATGCCCCGCCCCTTTTTGCCAATGGCTGCGCACAGACGGACAGACGTCTTTTCTGCTTTATATATAGTAGATCACTAAGCTCATAGCTCAGGCTCATAGCTCAGGCTCATAGCTCAGGCTCATAGCTCAGGCTCATAGCTCAGGCTCATAGCTCAGGCTCATAGCTCAGGCTCATAGCTCAGGCTCATAGCTCAGGCTCATAGCTCAGGCTCATAGCTCAGGCTCATAGCTCAGGCTCATAGCTCAGGCTCATAGCTCAGGCTCATAGCTCAGGCTCATAGCTCAGGCTCATAGCTCAGGCTCATAGCTCAGGCTCATAGCTCAGGCTCATAGCTCAGGCTCATAGCTCAGGCTCATAGCTCAGGCTCATAGCTCAGGCTCATAGCTCAGGCTCATAGCTCAGGCTCATAGCTCAGGCTCATAGCTCAGGCTCATAGCTCAGGCTCATAGCTCAGGCTCATAGCTCAGGCTCATAGCTCAGGCTCATAGCTCAGGCTCATAGCTCAGGCTCATAGCTCATCAAAGGTTCATAGCTCAGGCTCATAGCTCAGGCTCATAGCTCAGGCTCATAGCTCAGGCTCATAGCTCAGGCTCATAGCTCAGGCTCATAGCTCAGGCTCATAGCTCAGGCTCATAGCTCAGGCTCATAGCTCATCAAAGGTTCATAGCTCAGGCTCAGGAAGGTTGGAAAGCTTCACGCATCCTAATTCCCTGACCTTGCATCGTGAATTAGCAGAATTTTTTGTTAACCATGTGACAATTGAAAACCATTTGCATCAACTTGAGAAAAAGGTTCAATGGAAACATGGATTCAACATGAAAAATGGGTTCCACAAGAGCTTCCACATTCCACAAGGTAACAAAATAGCTCGTGTGCTCCATCTGGGCTTCTTATTAGTGGTTTTAAGTATATAAAGGCTTTAAGTATATTAAGGTTTTCATTTTAAAAAGTGAGTTGAGTCTGTTAGTTAACTTCAGTCGTTTTAAAAGCTTTCCTCAGTCATTTTAAAAGCAAATTTTAGTGAAGAGCTTTGCAGGAATCACCCTGCTCATAGCTCTGCTTTTGTATCACCCTAGGATCTATCCTAAGAACAAGAATAGTAAAGATCTTTTTTGTTTTGTTCAGTGAAGATGGCTGGCTAAAACAAAGCGTGATCATCGTCAATTGGGAGAACATCGAGAAAGAGATCGAACAAAGTGGATCGGCTGATTTCATTTATTGCCCGAAAAGGTTGAACGCTTTACAAAAATGCTTACAATAGTTATTTCGAAACTTATAGAAATGTCAAGTTGTCAAAGAAGTCGATTTTCAAAGAAGTCTCTTATGAAAAAACAGAATCAATCAAAGAAACGATCGAGGATTGGTTGGAAGAGATCGAGAATGAATTCGAGATTCTAAAAGGATTTGAGACAAGGACACCAAGTAGTGATTCGAATTTCGAAATGATCCAACCAGAAGATCCGAATTTCTCCGAAAAAGAAGAAGCTCCAAAGTTCTTGATGCATTTAGCTTTGGTAACAAAATTCAGAAGCAAAGACAACGATGGTCCACGAATTTCTAGCTTACCGGAACAGTTTATGCTCATTGAGGGGTAAATTTTCAGTGCTAAAGGCTCATCTGAGGTTGTAGAGATGATTCGAAACTTCAAGTCGAGTCGCAACTTCAAGTCGACTCTCAACCTCAAGTCGACTCTCAACTTCAAGACAATCAGCCCAAGAATCTCAAGGCTTTTGACAGGTTTTGAAATGAAAGTTCATGAAAGTGAAAACGAAAGTCCTGAATTCTAGAAATCGCTCGATTGAGGTGGAGATCGATTGTGAAGAAAATGGGAGAAAAATTCCGGAAGGGAGCTCTGAAAAGACGATGAATTTGGTCTATTTGGGCAACGAATTCGTACCATTGTTGAGGTTTTCGCTTGGATTTGCTACTAAAGAAGACTTGAGCTGGGGTCTTGCTCAGATCCCAGCTGATCAAGATCCCAGCTGAGCAAGATCCCAGCTGAGCAAGATCCTAAGCCTGAGCTTAGATCCTAAGCCTGAGCAAGCTCCCATCTGAGCAAGCTCCCAGCTCAGCAAGATCCTAGCTCAGCTCAGATCCCAGCTGAGCAAGATCCTAAGCCTGAGCTCAGATCTTTTCAATGGTGCAAACCGTACTTCATTTGATGCATTCAATATCTGTAGAGCCAGTTTTTAGTGAAAAAGATCGGTTGTTTAGTTGATAACCTGCTAAACGCTGAATAATTTGGTGAAACCGGGTTCCTGGGGTAGTCCAGAGAACTGATCGACAACTCTTGCCCTCCTGGCTTGAAACTGGGCAAAGGCGTAAGTGGATGTTTGGTCAAAGTGAGGCCAAAGGGTAGAACAGTTCGTCAGAGTCGATCAGGGATTCCAGTAGTGCTTGATTGGCTAAAGATTGGCTTGATTAATGGATAAGACAGGGTCATAAATTGGATACTAACTACAATGCCACTAGCATGTCCGCTGGACCACTAGATAAATCAAGATCAGCTCTGACTTCAGATCCGAGTCCATCGAAATGACCGTTCATTACAACTACAACAACAGAGCATCAACGAGCGCGTCAAAGAAAATCGTGAACTCGGCTGTGGGAGGGGTATTTGTTGAGAAGAAACTGAAAAAGTTGAATAAAAAAAGTGCCGTTGTTCAGGAATTTTTAGAACCAACATTACCCAAGAAGCTTTCCCAGAGTCACAAAATGTGTCTATCGATCAAAGGAGTAGTCAAATCATTGCTGATATCGACTTTGTGAAAACACCAAGGTACTGGCTACTGTAAGCCCCGGTTACCATAAACAGGCTCAGGCTCAGGCTTAGGCTCAGGCTCAGGCTTAGGCTCACGTTCAGGCTCAGGCTCAGGCTCACGTTCAGGCTTAGGCTCAGGCTTAGGTTTAGGTTCAGGCTTAGGCTCACGTTCAGGCTTAGGTTCAGGCGCAGGCTCAGGCTCACGTTCAGGCTTAGGCTCAGCTTAGGCGCCACCAGGCTTAGGTTTAGGTTCAGGCTTAGGCTCACGTTCAGGCTTAGGTTCAGGCGCAGGCTCAGGCTCACGTTCAGGCTTAGGCTCAGGCTTAGGTTTAGGTTCAGGCTTAGGCTCACGTTCAGGCTTAGGTTCAGGCGCAGGCTCAGGCTCACGTTCAGGCTTAGACTCAGGCGTAGGCATAGGTTACTGTAGATCCCGATTACTATCAGTGCTCTCTACAACCTAGGTCTTGTTTTCAAACCCCATTTTAAGGTCTCATCTATTCAGTCTTATCTAGTAGCTCTTATCTAGTAGGTCTAGTCAATCCTATCGGCTTAGTACTGGTAATAGCATATAGAAAATACTGTAACAAGTACTATATTTGTTTTTGTTCAGCAATGAGGACCATTTCACCTATATCCTGATCACTCCACGTGCATTTGAGGAGAAATTTCTGGACGAGAGTCTAGATCAAGAACAGAATGTCGATGCTGTTTTTGAGGCCACTTCAGAGTTAGACTTTCTCGAGAAATCATTCAGAAAACTTGTTCAGAAATCTTTTTGCTTTGAAAACGTTTGTTCAAGCTGGTTCTGACAATATTTTCGCATGTTTTTGCTCGATTCAAAAAGAAAACGCTCAATGCGATGTTGCGCTGAGAAACGAAGAAAAGAGGTTTGATTTGATTATTTAGTTTGATTATTTAAATTGTTGAAAATCTTTCAGTTCTTGGAATGAAGACACATTATTGGAATTTGTTTTTTATTTTGCTGAATTAGAGCTTAAAGCAGTTGAAGATCATCTTGTAAAAGCTGATTTCCAATTGATTTCAATGGAAGATTGGTTTGGATCTAAAAGATGTGCTCTTTCAACCGTAATCTTGTAATTAGAGACGAGGTTAATTAGAGACTAGATTAATTAGAGGCAAGATTACGGTAGAAATAGGGAATAGCTTTAGAGAATGGATTAGAAGAGAGTTCTTAAAGTTCTTAAAGTTCTTAGAGTTCTTAAAGAAGTTCTTAAAGAAGTTCTTGAAGTTCTTAAAGTTCTTAAAGTTCTTAAAGAAGTTCTTAGAGTTCTTAAAGAAGTTCTTAAAGTTCTTAGAGTTCTTAAAGAAGTTCTTAGAGTTCTTAGAGTTCTTAAAGAAGTTCTTAAAGAAGTTCTTAAAGTTCTTGAAGTTCTTAAAGGTTCTTAAAGAAGTTCTTAAACTTCTTAAAGTTCTTAAAGAAGTTCTTAAAGTTCTTAAAGAAGTTCTTAGAGTTCTTAAGGAAGTTCTTAGAGTTCTTAAAGAAGTTCTCAAAGAAGTTCTTAAAAAAGAGAGTTCACTTAGAGCTCTTAAAGTTCTTAAACAGTTCAAGAACACTCGAAAGAACAACCATTCAGCAATGAGACATCAAAAACTCTTGAGACATCAATTCTTGAAGAGATCAGTTTTTTGGAAGTATCAAGATCATTGGATTCTAGAAGAGCAAAAACATCGTGTGAACTTGAGCTCAAGTACACTGAGAATGGGTTGGATTGGCTCAATTTATGCATTTACTGTTGCAACTTACAGCTTTGCTTGGAATCAAGAAGCTTTTTATGAATTCACTACGCATTTCGCTAGATTGGATATCAAAAAGCCAGAAAAAGAACCCATAGAGGTTGACGAAATTACTCTCGCAACAACAACAACTTGTGACATCGATATCAAGTACACTGAGAATGGGTTTGACTAGTAGTTTTGAATTGAAGCTGAATCTCAAACTTTCAGCTTTGCTTGGAACCAGGAAACATTTTATGAATTCACTACACATTTTGCAAGATTCGATATCGAAAACTCGAAAGAAGAGGAGGCAACGAAAGAATTCGAAGCTTTTAGCACTCCAACAATAGCTTGCGAAACTCCAACTCCAACAACAGCTTGCGAAACTCCAACTCCAACAATAGCTTGCGAATTTCAAATCAAGTACAATGAAAATGGGTTGGATTAGCTTTTAATTTCAACTATTTACTGTTGCAATTTCCAGCTCTGCTTGGAATCAAGAAGCTTTTTATGAATTCACTACGTCTTTTGCTAGATTGGATATCAAGAATTCACAGGAGGAAGAATCGTTGTGGCATTGTGGCATCAAGAATTCACAGGAGGAAAAACGGGGAATCGTTGTGGCAATCGATGCTGACGAAGAGTACGTATTAGTGCAAAAAGAATTTGTGCTATTTTCTATTTTGCACTGAACATCTTTGCTCAGTACTGTACAGTACTGGTGCGTACTCTACCTACTACGTCTAAGGCTAAGGCTACGTATTGACGTTATGTACATAGTACTGGCGCGTACTGACGGACCGTAGATAGTACTGATGCGTACTGACGTACTGTGCATAGTACTGGCGTGTACTGACGGACCGTAGATAGTACTGATGCGTACTGCCGTACTGTGCATAGTACTGGCGTGTACTGACGGACCGTAGATAGTACTGATGCGTACTGACGTACTGTGCATAGTACTAGTGCATACGGACGTGCTGTTAATAGTAGTGGTGCGTAGTGACGGACCGTACATAGTACTGGTGCGTACTAGCCTACTGTACATCGTATTTGGAACGTACTGGCGTACCGTACATAGTATTGGTGCGTACTGTACATAGTATTAGTACATACTGACGTACTGGTACGTCAACGACGGCTACATTCAGCGATTTCACGAAAGTTTCCCTTACAAGTAATCTTTCTTCTCAAAAACTGGAGCAAGTCGCTTTAGCAAGCGCGTACTAACGTACTGTACATAGTAACGGCGCGGACTGACAGACCGTACCTAGTACTGATGCATACTGACGGATCGTACATAGTACTGATGCGTAGTGACGGACCGTACATAGTACCAATGTGTACTGACTTACTGTACATAGTATTGGCCCATACTGACGTAATGTACATCGTATTGGAACGTACTGGCGTAGTGTGCATGATACAGCGCGTACTGACCTGCTATACATAGTACTAGTGCATACGGACGTGCTGTTAATAGTAGTGGTGCGTAGTGACGGACCGTACATAGTACTGGTGCGTACATAGTACTGGTGCGTACATAGTACTGGTGCGTACATAGTACTGGTGCGTACATAGTACTGGTGCGTACTGACCTACTGTACATCGTATTGGAACGTACTGGCGTACCGTACATAGTATTAGTACATACTTCCGTACTGGTACATCAACGACGGCTACATTCAGCGATTTCACCAAACTTTCCCTTACAAGTAATCTTTCTTCTCAAAAACTGGAGCAAGTCGCTTTTCACCTGGATGTGATTGTGCCGGATGAGTAAAAAAATTCCATTGACAAATTGCAAAAAGCCTTTTTCAGAGTTGAATGGTTTGAGGAAACATTCTCCGCGCATCAAATGGCCTCTTGTGAATTCGATGTTAAAATGTGCCTTGAGGAGTCTTTGACAATACTTGTAGAATCAGAGAAGAAGGAAAGGTATTTTAAGGGTTAAATCTCTATTTCTAAATTTAACTAATCTAATCAAAAGTACTCGAGCACGGGAATTTACCCAGCTTGTCAGATTTAAGTCATTTTTTGCTATATTTTGATCACTGGATTGCAGCCAAGAAAGCGCATCAATCGAATTCGAAGACTATTTCGCGCTGAGTGACTATTTCGAGTTCGACGAGTCGACAAGTCAAGAAATAGATCTTGATGTTCAAATTGGGGAAAGTGAGAGGTTTGGAAGGATTGATCGAAGCAATTGGTTGATGTTTTCTTTTTTTAAACGAACTTCTAAACCAGATCTTGGCCTGGCTTCTGGACTTGTCTATAGGGTTGTCTGTAGGATTGTCTTACTGTAGAAGTTACTGTAGAACCCTCTTACTGTAGGGTTGTCTTGCTGCAGGACTTACTGTAGGACTTACTGTAGGACACACTGTAGAGCTGTCTTACTGTAGAACTGTCTTAGTATAGGGTTGACTTACTGTAGGACTTACTGTGGGACTTACTGTAGGACTTACTGTAGGACTTACTGTAGAACTGTCTTACTATAGGGTTGACTTACTGTAGAACTGTCTCACTGTAGAACTGTTTTACTGTAGAGCTGTCTTACTATAGGGTTGTCTTACTGTAGGGCTTACTGTAGAACTGTCTCTGAGCCCGACAAAAGCTCTGGTTAAGCCAGGCTTCTTGCCTAGCCTGGCTTATAAATTTCGAGCTCTAAAAATTCCTCGTTGACTTTGAAAATCTGAGACTTTAGTAATGAAAGAAGCATTCTTCTGAATCTTGTCAACTCAAAAAAGCTTGAAGAATTTCTGATCATTGAACCAATGAAGAGAACAATGACAGCTGAATGGAAAATCGTGAAGAAAGAGAGGTTGAAAGGAAACTTGCTGTTGCTTGTCTTACTATAGAAATTTAGTAACGCTCAATTGTTCGCTGAATTCATTTCAATAGCACAAGTTGAGCAAGCCAAATTGGCAACCATTGTCCCTAGTTTCAAATCATTGCACGTCTACGCAGCCATCGAAACTGCTAAAAGGTATTCGTTTTGTAAAACGAATCTCTTTCTCTTTCTCTCTTTCTCTTTCTCTTTCTCTTTCTCTTTCTCTTTCTCTCTTTCCACCTTTCTATTTTTATCTAATCTATTCACTTTTATCCATTTTCTGAAAGAATAGTTCACAAAGGATATAAAAGTGTATAGATTAGATAATCGAAGATTTCGAACAATTTAGGCGAGACTCAGGGTGCACTACTATTAGAGAGAATACGGTATATGTGTCGTAGCCGCTTACGAAATTCAGCCGCTAACGAATGAGGGTATTTCCGGGCATCCAATCAAAAAGTCACCCACATAAAAAATGTTCATAATACATATATTTTATAATAAATTTTTGAAATTAGCTCATTTGGTTCAGTAGAAAAATTTTTTTGAGCCCCCAAAGTTTAGGTTCAAAAATGGCTATAAAAAATTTTCTACTCAGCCAAAAAACTTGCCTAATAGCTCATTTTGTAGCCAATTTGATGTAGTTTCTTAAAGTAAAGCTACATTGAACATTTGTTTTTCAAAGCTAGGAGAAAGAGGGCGAGGAACGACTTCAGTTGAACTCGGTCGCCGTTTTCACATTTGAGAATTGCCCTGAATTTGTTCCTCGCCCTCTTTCTCCTACTTTCAACGAAAAATTGTTTTAGATGGCTTTACTTTAAGGAACTACATCAAATTGGCTACAAAATGAGCTATTAGGCAAGTTTTTTGGCTGAGTAGAAAATTTTTTATAGCCTTTGTTGAACCTAAACTTTGGGGGCTCAAAAAAAATTTTCTACTGAACCAAATGAGCTAATTTCAAAAATTTATTATAAAATATATGTATTATGAACATTTTTTATGTGGGTGACTTTTTGATTGGATGCCCGGAAATACCCTCATTCGTTAGCGGCTGAATTTCGTAAACGGCTACGACATATAGATTAGCTAAAAATAGAGACAAGACTACGGTAGAAAGAGGCACTTTTTAGAAAACGGATTAGTACTTTGGCATAGTCTGATTCAAGCTCTTTATTCAGTGAAAATTGGAACGCTGCACCGTATACAAGAAAAGATATCATCTACAGTAATCTGATCGCTCTTACACCTAAAAAAGAAATCTCCAACCAAAGCTACAATCTTACATCAAAAGACAGGTTTGTTTTTTAGTCTTTTTGCTGATTTTCTTTCAGAACCTGGACTTACCGTACTTTAGGGTTTGTTATTTTTACGAGTTTCGAGGCTAGTACTCGTTCAACCTTCAGTACTAGTCCCTGGTTACAGTGCTACGCTACTACATTGACTAGCTAACATACTGCAGTAACTAATGGGTCACAGTACTCAGTGCTAGCCCTACTGTGACTAGTACTGGCTACAGTTTACTGTACTTATTGTACTTACTGAACTTACTGGACTAACCGTACTCGCTGTACTTACTGTACTTACTGTACTTATTGGACTAACTGTACTTACTGGACTAACTGTACTTACTGTACTTACTGTACTTACTGTACTTACTGGACTAACTGTACTTACTGGACTAACTGTACTTACTGGACTAACTGTACTTACTGGACTAACTGTACTTACTGGACTAACTGTACTTACTGGACTAACTGTACTTCCTGTACTTACTGGACTAACTGTACTTACTGGACTAACTGGACTAACTGTACTTACTGTACTTACTGGACTAACTGTACTTACTGTACTTACTGTACTTACTGTACTTACTGGACTAACTGTACTTACTGGACTAACTGTACTTACTGGACTAACTGTACTTACTGGACTAACTGTACTTCCTGTACTTACTGGACTAACTGTACTTACTGGACTAACTGGACTAACTGTACTTACTGTACTTACTGGACTAACTGTACTTACTGTACTTACTGTACTTACTGTACTTACTGGACTAACTGTACTTTACTGGACTAACTGTACTTACTGGACTAACTGTACTTACTGGACTAACTGTACTTCCTGTACTTACTGGACTAACTGTACTTACTGGACTAACTGGACTAACTGTACTTACTGTACTTACTGGACTAACTGTACTTACTGTACTTACTGTACTTACTGTACTTACTGGACTAACTGTACTTACTGGACTAACTGTACTTACTGGACTAACTGTACTTACTGGACTAACTGGACTAACTGTACTTCCTGTACTTACTGGACTAACTGTACTTACTGTACTTACTGTACTTACTGTACTTACTGGACTAACTGTACTTACTGTACTTATTGGACTTACTGGACTTACTGGACTTACTGTCCCTTAAAATTTACTGTACCAATTCAGGGCCCATTCAGCCACACTCAGGCCAAGCCAAGTACAGTATCAAGCAGATTAAGACACCAAAGTACTTACAGCAGCTAGTATAGTAAACTTCTGGACGTAAATAACATCTTTGATACAGTACCCTTACCTCACCGATACTGTATAACATTGCTGTGACAATTCCAAAAACATAGAAACACTGCAAACACTGCAAACTACAAACGTAAACTCCAAACGCTTTCAACTTGCTTTAAATCTGCTGGATTGACACGATCTATAGCTCAAAAAATAGAGAATTTCAAGAGCTTTTGAATGGATCAAAGCACACCCAAAAATAATAATTCTAAAGAAAGTTACAGTCGTTTGTAGCTCGACGGACTGTACTCGCGTGTAGTCGAGCTACAAACGACTGTAACTTCCTATAGAATTTATATTTTTGGTGTGCTTTGATCCATTCAAAAGCTCTTAAAATTCTCTATTTTTTGAGCTATAGATCGTGTCAATCCGGCAGATTTAAAGCAAGTTGAAAGCGTTTGGAGTTTACGTTTGTAGTTTACGTCTCTAGTTTGCAGTGTCCATCTCTATTGTGATGCAGTTCAGAACTTGCAACAGCTTCAGAGTACAGTACAGTACAGTATCGTACCGTACACTCGTGCCACAGTACCCTTTATAACCTAAAATACTGTAAAAGTTTGCCAATCGAAAGCCTTTCAGCCACGCGCAAGTCTCAGTCCACTTCTACGAAAGCTCAACTCTGAAAATTTCCACGAAAATCGCGAAACTAAAAGAAAAAACTAAAGATTTATCTATTGAAATGGACTCTCCACAAAGGTTTCAATTGAAAATTTCGTCTTTCATTGTGGCAGTTGAGCGGCCGGTTCTCCAATTGGCCGTTTCTCCTCAAAGATTTCGCTCAACGCCTTGGATTTCGTTTTCTTTTTTTGCTTTTGCTTAATTATTGAGCGCTCTGATTGCTTAAGTTTTATCTTTTTCATCTAAATTTGCAAATTTCTCAATTACGAGTTCATTTTTTGCCCTAAACCGTTGCCGAATCGAGAGAAAGTTTGTGGCAAACGTTGGCAAACGTTGGCAAAAACGATTAAAATTCTCGATATCGATATCTTTATCAATTTATTAATATCTTTATCAATTTATCGATATCTTTCTCATTTTACAGTTCACAGTGCTGACTTTGTGCTCGAATCTGTAAACACACCCCTTCTCGTGCACTCAATTCACATTACCCTAAAGTGGCGAGTATAAGTTCTGTTTGGTTTTCGCATGCAAATTGACGGCTGTCTCCGGTGCGGTGTGTCGAGGGTTCGAACCCCGCTGCAGCATAACTTTGTTGCTTTTTAAAAACAATAATAGTAGTAAATTTATTGAGGGTTATAGCAATTTTATGCTGTTATTTGTTGCTCCGGGCGTGGCTCGGCGCGTCCGCCCTGCTCCTCTCCGGTGCTCAGTCTTATGGATCCCTCCCTGGCCTCTTCATGGCCCTCCCTGGCCTCTTCATGGCCCTCCCTGGCCTCTTCATGGCCCTCCCTGGCCTCTTCATGACCCTCCCTGACCTCTTCATGGCCCTCCCTGGCCTCTTCATGACCCTCCCTGGCCTCTTCATGACCCTCCCTGGCCTCTTCATGGCCCTCCCTGGCCTCTCGCCAAAGTCCACGTCGACGATCGAAAGAGATGCTTTCCAGCGTCTTCTTCAACACTATCGTCTGGATGTATCCATGCACATAACAAATAGCAATGGTGATAGGCTGTCACCCTGTAGTATCCCGCGCTCCAAGAACAATAATAAAAGTTTATATAACAATAAAAATGTATAAAAACCCAACAAAAAGAAATTCAAAGCAATTAAAGCGAATGTAAATTAAGGCAGAACTTATACTCGGATGAACTTATACTCGAGTCTCGAGTCTCGAGACTTTAGGGTAATTTCCTTTTTTCAATCAGCAGATCCTTTATTTTCATCATTTTCTTGGCCATTTTCTTGACCATTTTCTTGGCGACCTTTTCATTTAAAAAATCTTGTTCAAATTGCTGAAATTTTATCTAAAAAATCCCTCTAATCATATCACTCGAAATCTCAACTTTCTCTCATCAAATTTCGTTTTAAAATCTACTTTGTGCTGGTGTAAACGCAACCTTTCCTGTGCACTGAATTCTTCACTTTCCCTGGAGCAAAATGGAGAATTCAGTGCGTCAAAAAGCGGCATCTACACAAGCACAAAGTGCATCTCTAATTTTAGTTTTATTCTTTTATTGCTTTCAGCCTTTCAGCTTTCTACTACTTTGGTTAATTTTTATTTATTTCTAAATTTTCAGACGAATGACAGCCTCTCCACTGCCCGGTCAACAAACCCAGCAATCTTCGTATCAATGGAAAACCGAAACCACTAGAACAACCACGCAACCAAATGGGGGTTTGTAAGCTTTTTGATACCGTAAATAGAAATACCTAATAGAAATAGAAACTAATAGAGACCCACTCTTCATTAGAAACCTCTAATCTTGTCTATTGCTAGTCTTTTCTCCAAAAACAGAAATAATTGTACGATGAGATTCAGCCACAGCTCACTCTGCTATCGCTTCTCTAGCGCTTTTCTAAAACAGAAATAATTGTACGATGAGATTCAGCCGCCGATTCATTTTCTTGTCTATCGCTTTGTCTATTGCTTTACCTATCCCTCATCTTTTCTCTAAAAACAGAAATGATTGTACGATGAGATTCAGCCACACCCCCCCCCCCTCTCGCTTCTTCCCTAATCTTTTCTCTAACAACAGAAATAATTGTACGATGAGATTCAGCCACAGCTTCATTTTCTTGTCTATCGCTTTGCCTAGTCTTTTCTCTAAAAACAGAAATAATTGTACGGTGAGATTCAGCCACAGCTTCATTCTCTTGTCTATCGCTTTGTCTATTGCTTTGTCTATCCCTAATCTTTCCCTCTAAAAACAGAAATAATTGTACGATGAGATTCAGCCACAGATTTCCCTTTAAATCGTAAAGCAATGCAGCCTGAATCAAAAATTCTTGGTCTTCCATTTAAATATCAAAAATGAATGATGAAATTTGAAAATTTGAAATTCGAAAAGAAAAGATTCTTTTCGTAAAAATATTCTATTTTTGTTTTATAAAAAAAGCGGGAAGAAAGCTTTTTTGAAATTCAAAAAAATCATAAAAGTGAGAGGAAGAGTGAAAGTTGCTAACCTAATTTTCAAAAGCTCAACTTTTTTCAGAAACCTGGCGCACTGAGACGATTCGCACCAATCAGCAGCCGCAGAGTCGTGAGTTTAAAAGATAACACTCACTCAAATCACTCAAATAAAGCTATAGATCTAGATTAGAGCTATAGATTCTAAAAAATCAAATTCTAAAAAAGCTATAGATAGAAAATAGATATAGAAAACTATAGATTAAATTGAGATATTCAAATTCTACTTTTTAGTTTAAAATATTATCCTTTTAGATTCAACTGCATGGCGCACTGAGAGTCAAACGGGAGGCGGTCCGGTGACGACTGGTTCGTTTAGAAAATTGTTATAAACCTAAATTCAATCCTGAACATCCTAAAAATCATGAATTAAACAAATAAGCATTTTCTATCATTTCTTTAATTAATGTTTAAAATGACTGGGTAATCCAAGTAATCCAAATAAAGTAATAGAAAGTAATCCAAGTAAAGTAATAGAAAGTAATCCAAGTAAAGTAATAGAAAGTAATCCAAATAAAGTAATAGAAAGTAATCCAAGTAAAGTAATAGAAAGTAATCCAAGTAAAGTAATAGAAAGTAATCCAAGTAAAGTAATAGAAAGTAATCCAAGTAAAGTAATAGAAAGTAATCCAAGTAAAGTAACAGAAAGTGATCCAAGTAAAGGAATAGAAAGTAATCCAAGTAAAGTAATAGAAAGTAATCCAAATAAAGTAATAGAAAGTAATCCAAATAAAGTAATAGAAAGTAATCCAAGTAAAGTAATAGAAAGTAATCCAAGTACACCTGTCCAGGCCTACCTGGTTTTACCTTTTACCTGGCCTGTCTTCTACTTGTCCAGGCAAATTTTAAATGCAAATTCCAGTGCAAAGCAACAAGCATTAGAGTTTTATTGAAGTTATAACTTATCTAAAATCAACAAATTGTATTATAATCCTCTCAATCTCAGGCCAAACCTCGTGGCGTACCGAGAAACGCACGACCACTACCACCGAGCGACAAACGATTCCCATTCAACGTAGGGATTTACGATTCCCATTCCATTCCAACAAATGTACATTTTCAGAAACTTACACAACCTCGTCACGCGATACGTGGAATACACAGCGAACGGCTGAGTCGGGAAGTCAACTCGGTGGAAGGCCTGGATCTCGCGCTGGTTTGTGACAACACTTGATTCAACTTTATCCAGTTTTATCCAGCTTTGCCCAGCTTTGTCCAGCTTTGTCCAGCTTTATCCAGCGTTGTCCAGCTTTTTCCAGCTTTATCCAGCTTTATCCAGCTTTGCCCAGCTTTGTCCAGCTTTATCCAGCGTTGTCCAGCTTTTTCCAGCTTTATCCAGCTGCATCCAGCTTCATCCAGCTTTGTCCAGCTTTATCCAGCTTTTCCTAGCTTTGTCCAGCTTTTCCCAGCTTTATCCAGCTTTATCCAGCTTTTCCCAGCTTTGTCCAGCTTTGTCCAGCTTTGTCCAGCTTTGTCCAGCTTTGTCCAGCTTTATCCAGCTTTGTCCAGCTTCCAGCTTTTCCAGCTTTTCCGCTTTGTCCGCTTTTCCCAGCTTTATCCAGCTTTATCCAGCTTTTCCCAGCTTTGTCCAGCTTTGTCCAGCTTTATCCAGCGTTGTCCAGCTTTATCCAGCTTTATCCAGCTTTTCCCAGCTTTGTCCAGCTTTGTCCAGCTTTATCCAGCGTTGTCCAGCTTTTTCCAGCTTTATCCAGCTGCATCCAGCTTTGTCCAGCTTTATCCAGCTTTGTCCAGCTTTATCCAGCTTTGTCCAGCTTTATCCAGCTTTATCCAGCTTTTCCAGCTTTGTCCAGCTTTATCCAGCTTTGTCCAGCTGCATCCAGCTTTATCCAGCTTTGTCCAGCTTTACTTTGCGTTCACATATCATTTCAAAAACTGCATTTGATAAACTGCTTACTGTTTTTAAAGTGTTGTCTATTTTTTTCAAAGCTTCCCTCGTTATTTCCACTGAATCAACGATGCAGTTTTTCCCGCCACACAAAAAATGTGAGTGAAAGTGAAATTTCAGATTCGGCCGCCTCTTTCCAATATTCACGCGGCGATAAAATCAATCCCGGAGAGCGTTCGTTTTTTTCTGTTTTGAAAAGAATTTACTTTTTAGCTTCATAAAAGTATTACTAACTAACTATTAACTATTATAACTAATAATAGTTAATAGTTATAGCTAAAGAAATTTTCAGAGCGCCTCTCGCAGTTGACTCGTCCCGATTCACGTGCCAGTGTTACCGCCTCAGATCGTAAGTCATTTTTAAAACATACATTTCTTACAATGATCTGGTACAAACACAAGCACAACCCCTAAGTCCAAAATATCGGGAAAAATTCAAATACAGAGTGCGGCGAAAGTTCTGTCCTTTTTAAATTCTCTTTAATTAAATCCTCTCTGATTGTTAAAACAATAATTATTCCAAAAGATATTCGCCATGATTTTCGATTGTCTTTCTCCACTTTTCCTTCAAATCTCGAATCCCATTCTCGAAAAACTGGGGTGTTTGATCATCAAAGTATTGGCGCATCCAGATTCAGATCTCATCGTGCTTTTTGAACTTCTTCCCAGCTAAAGAATGTTGCATGGATCGAAATAAATGGCAATCCGTAGGGGTGATGGTCTAGGAAATACGGCGGATGAGGGAGAGGTTCCCAATCTAGATTCTTGAGTTTCTCTTGAGGCAACTTTGCGATGTGTCCTGTGTTATCCTGAAGGTAACGAACTTTCAGTCAAATCGGTTCCCTGCTGGCGAAGTGCTTGATAAACTCAATCAAGTTGTTGAACATAGAGTTCAGAATTCACTCTTTATCCGTGATCGAGCAAAATGCACATGTCCCTTTGTATTCCACTAAACATTGCCTTCTTTCCGTGCAGGTCCACCTTTAGAGTCGTTACAGGAGATTCCCCTACACTGAGCCACTGTCGTTTCCTGTTGAGACTCTCGTATGAAATCCATTTTTCGTCGGATATTAAAAATGAATCCCAGAATCCGCTGTTCTTTGACTTTCGAAGGAGTATTCCAGCCGACTACACCCTGATTGCTTTGTTTGCATCATTTAACTCGTGCGGAATCCATTTTTCGACGTAGATTGCCTTTCCAATTAGGTGCAGATGATTCAAAATGATTGTCTGACCAACATCTAACATCTAACTGTCATCAACATCTAACTGTCATCAACATCTAGCTGTCATCAACAAGTAAGATGCCGCCAAACTCACGAGTAGAGACGCATGGGCTTCTCTCAACGGTTTTGTGCAACTCCAATTCAACAATTACCGGTGGTGGATGGCCTCAATCCTGGTCTTCGAGATCCTCATTTCCTTGCTAACGTTGGAGCCAAGCTCGACATTATCTTTCGGAGAGTGCTGATTCGCCAAATACACTTGCAATGCAATCTATTGCGTGGATTGAAGACGGCGTGGATCTTTCCAATTAGGTGCAGATGAATCAAAATGGTTGTCTGACCAACATCAAATATGTTGCTCATCAAATAATCGGCAAGCTCACGAGTGAAGACGCATGGGTTTTCTTCAACAGTTTTGGACAACTCCAAGTCAACAATTACCGATGGTGGATGGCCTCGATCCTGGTCTTCAAGATATTTATTCCCTTCGTGAAATCGTTGGAACCAAGCTCGGCATTTTCTTTCGGGGAGTGCTGATTGGCCAAATACACTTGCAATGACTCTATGGCAATCGGCTGCCGTTTTTCCTTGCTTGAAGTCATAGCATACAGCATCCAGCATCCAAACTCGAATTCGATACTTCAAATCGTTCATCCTAAAAAGTTAAAATTAGCAGGGTAGGAAGACGAATGAAGAACCAAGAAAACAAGGAAGAAAACAGGTTTTTAGTAACATCAAACTATATTGACTAGATAGTCAGCAATCAACAATTTAACGAAAAAAATTTTTACGGCGGTTTCATTCGGTTCAAAAATCCTAAAAAATCTTATTACCTTTTTTAAATGGCTCCTTTAAATTTTGAGTTATCACAATTTGCGTGAGCTCTGTGATCGCACCAGTTATTAGTATTACCAGTATAAGAAAATGTGTCAAACTTAAAACTCAGACGATTAGAAGTATTCAAAAAGTTTTTTTATCACTTCCAAACTGGAAATACAACAACAAGTTTTCAATAAGTTTACAAAAAATTTGTAATTTTTCTAGAAATTTCTGCAATAAAAAACGCAAAAATATGTGCGATCACAGAGATTTTTTTCGAAGAGCATAGAAGAACGATAACTCAAAATCTAAAAAAGTTATTTAAAAACTGTAATAAGATTTAAAGATTCTGTGGAAAATTGGCTATCTTTTGGCTATAAACACTTACCGTAAATACTGTAATAGTACCCCACGCCCCTCGTACAGTCGCGTAGTCGCAAAAGTTTTTTAGTATTTCATTTTTTTCAAAGCGCTCGTACTTTTAAAAAATGCGTCTTTGGTATCAAAAAATAGCTGAAATTCAGGGCTATTCTTTGAAACCAAAACGAACATTGTAGCATAAACCAGTGTCGAGAAAAACTCGTCCAAAGCTAGACTACGCAACACTCCGCACCGTCATTATGGGGGTGGGGTACTATTACAGTATTTACGGTATAAAATAAAATCAACCAGAAAGCTTTTAGAGAGAATTCTAAAAAGAACAGAACTTTCGCCTAGCCTGTAAAATCAAGTATTTATATCGAAAAACAAAGTTTTCGAAAGAATCTTTTATCACAGATGGCTCCGTGGTAAACGACACATTGAACGCGCTGGCTACCGACGTCGAGCAAACAACGGAACTCATTCGCCGAAAACAGCAACAGATGCGCTCCGAGAGACGCCAATTTCAGACCGAAATGGAGGTGGGAATGAAGAAAATTCCAAGCCAAACCTAATTCCACCTTCGTTTTCTCAGCCGTCTCTTGGCCGAATGTTCTGAAACTTCAAATAGAAATTGGCGTTCTCTGCTTGTAGACAAAATTTCAATTCAATTTCAATTTTGTCTACAAGCAGAGAACGCCAATTTCTATTTGTAAGCGAAATTTCAGAAAATTCTCCCAAGAGACGGCTGAAAGAAACGAAGGTGGAATTAGGTTTGGCTTGGAATTTTCCCATTTCTAGTGGAGACATTGGATACTTTACAAGCATAAGGCTTAACTTTGCATATTGCGATAAACGTTTTTATATTAAATCAACCCAGGTGACCGGCCGTATCTCGATCTCGCCAACCGATGACTGGCTCAACGCTCGTTTAAAAGCCGTCTCCACCGACGATTTGAAGAGGGATCTCTCAAAGATCAAAGAGGATCAAAGTAATGATCAAAGATGATTAAAGTAATGATCAAAGATGATCAAAGTAAAGATCAAAGATGATCAAAGTAAAGATCAAAAATCAAAAATCAAAGAGAAAATCGATAATGCTAACAAAATACCCAATCACTAAAGCATAGAAACAGTTGCATATTTGGAGATTTAGCGTATTTGATCAAAAGATCTGTTCTCATCTCAAGAAACTCTCAATAAGTTGAAAGAATCTCAACTCTCCATAAGTAAACATCTAATAAGTAATAATGTTCAACTCTAGATACTATTTTTCTAGCTCAAGCAAGACCAGAAGCCAAGTATCGGAATCATGTAAAACTAAGCAAATATCTAAAGATATTCTTGAATACCGTGCACCCTGAGCGTTGCCTAAATTACTCGAAATCTCGAGAACCGCTTATCAGAACCTATCCATGTGGGGTCGGAAAATGTAGCTGACGATGAGATCTAGTGGGGGATTAGAGTGTTGAGCTTCTGCAAAAGCTTGGAAACTGTAAAATAGCCATCAAAATAGTCACCAACTCGGCTCGCCAGGGTGCACTACTATTAGAGAAAATACGGTTTAATTTCAGACGTCCGGTTCGTCCGGTTTAGTTTAGAGCAAAAAAGAAACTCTAGACAGCAACAAATCAAGAAACTAATGAATGAATAAACGAATTTGCTGCAGGAGCAACCCATTTACATAGTTTATGCACCACAAAACAAAAATACTCACATTGAAGAAAATCGGGGGGTAGGATAATTTTCACAATTTTTTTTTGCGCAACTCGCCATAACTTTCTTCTAAGTGGACCAGTCTTTATAATTTTGGTTTATTTTGTTGCACTTATTGAGATCTACAAAATGAAACCAAAATCATAAAGATTGGCTTACTTAGAAGAAAGTTATGGCGAGTTGCGCAAACGACCCAGTTGCGTAAATAACCCTATTGCGGAAACTAGCCTACCCCTCCATTCCTCCTTTGTTCCTATTTGGTTCCTGTTTGGTCCCTATTTGGTTCCTATTTGGTTCCTATTTGGTTCAAAACTTTAACTATCAAATTCCAGGAACTAATGCTGTCACCGATACTTTGGCGGCTCTCGTTTACGATGTGAATGCGACAGCGGAGGTGCTTCGCCGCGGATCGCTCGGCAGAGATCGCGGAAAGAAAAAGGACAAAGCACAAGAGGTGAAAATATAACTTGCGTTTTATAAATAACGTCATGAGTACCGTAATTAGAAAGGAGTTTATCGTAATTAGAAATTTATCTATTATTAGGTTGGTAAAAAAGAAATGAGCGTCGTGTTTGTTGATTTGTATTTTATTCACAGTAAAAGATTTTTTTAAATAGTTTATTCTATTGGAAAGGCGAACCTCTACCAAGGCCAATTGGACCGCATGGACCAGGCGCTGCGACGTCAAGGTGTGGATACGGCGTTCCTCCACGACAACGCTCGGCCGCATGTCGCAAAAATCACCCAGCAGAAAATTGAAGAAATGGGCTGTGAAGTCTTGCCTCATCCGCCATACAGCCCAAACTTGGCGCCTTCCGACTACCATCTGTTCCGATCAATGCACCACAGCAAGAAAGCGGCAGTGGTTGGACCCCGGTGAAGCTCCAAAACCGACTCCAAAACCGGACATCCATGGAAAAAAGGTGATGCTTTATGTTTGGTGGAACAGTAAAGGCCTGGTGTACTTTGAGGTTCTGGATTCGGGTCAAACAGTTACGGCGAACCTCTACCAAGGCCAATTGGACCGCGTGGACCAGGCGCTGCGACGTCAAGGTGTGGATACGGCGTCGACAAAATTCCTCCACGACAACGCTCTGCCACATGTCGCAAAAATCACCCAGCAGAAAATTGAAGAAATGAGCTGGGAAGTCCTGCCTCATCCGCCATACAGCCCAGACTTGGCGCCTTCCGACTATCATCTGTTCCGATCAATGCACCAGTCCTTGGCCGAGAAAAAGTTCAAGAACCGCGACGAGGTCCAAATTTGGTTGTCCAACTTCTTCGAGTCGCAGCCGGTCGAGTTCTTCAAGAGGTGCATCCATTCTCTGCGTGAACGTTGGCGACAAGTCATTGATGCAGATGACGAATACCTTTTGGATTAATGTATTGTTATCTTGTTTTTATAATAAAATAAACTTTTAACGAAAACGCGCATTTCTTTTTTACCAACCTAATAGAAAGAGATCTTTATAAGTACATCTTTTTAGGAAGTGGAATACCGCCTTCGCTTGACACCGTCAGTCGACGAGGAACCCCGACCATTCCCGTCACCAAAACAGTATGAACAAGGTGAAGATGAGGATCTTTTACTTTCAATCTATTAATCGATACGTATATCGTTAATTGAATAACCCAAATTCCTGCTTAACCTAAACTTTTTAGTGCCAGAAGAGAAAACGACTGTCGATGATATGCAGCGAGATTTTGGGGTCGACATTTCGGAATCGCATACGTAAGAGCTAAAAGAATGAAACTTACCTAAATACTATCTAAAAAAAGTTTATTTCAAAATCGGCTAGCCTTTTCTAAAATGCCTGAATTTCAAAACCGGTTGCGACATATGAATAATGTAGTCTGAAATGTATAAAAGCGTTACCAAAAAGCCTGGCAATTTGAGATTTGATTTGATGTATTTGAGCCTGGAAATGGAATATTTTGAGGAATTTTGAGATAGTAAACGAGCATGCAAGGTAAAAAGATGTTAGTGGCTTTAACAAGAAAGTATCAGCTTAATACTTATAAAATCAGCCTAGTTCTTAAAAGATTCTTGAAACTGACTCTAGTTCTTGCTTTTAAGTGTACTTTGCGTACTTTGAGCTCAATCTTGGATCACTGAACAACTTTGGCACTCTTTCTGGCTAATTGAGCTCTTCTTTGTTTAGCGGGAAGGATTCTGTTTAGCAGAAAGTACGCTAAAGATAAAGTACGTTTTGCAGAAAGTACGCTAAAGATAAAGTACGTTTTGCAGAAAGTACGCTAAAGTGAAAAACAAAGAATTGAATGTGCCAGGAAGGGTTTGTTTAAACGATAAGATTTAGAGGATACGATTTAAAGAGTTCCAGAGCACAAAGTACGCAAGTATTTTCTCAAAACAAATCCAATTCCTTTTCAGCGCTTCTCTCCGTCGCCGTGCCCGTTCAGAGACGCCGCGTCGCACTCTGCACATTGAGGTAAAAGAAAATGTTTTCACAACGAAAAAAAATCCTCCAAACGGTCCATTAACTCTCAAAAAAACGCGCATGAAATCACGCTCGAGTGATTTTTCTTTTTCGTTTTTCCAAACAGAAAAGCGAAAAATTTTTTTGTTTATTTTTAGCCCTCACCTCCACCGATGGCGCCAGCAATTTGCGCTTATTGCAATGAAGAGATTGATGGTGAGTAAAAGAACTTTGGATGTTTTAAAGGCACAGTTTTAAACGATTATCAACATTTACTCAATCTACGTAAGAATTTGAATATCATGAATCATCAAGAATTTCAATTTCGCTTCAAATTGAATATCAATTTTTTTTTCACTGAGAAAATACAGCAGTAATTCAAGCAGTAATTGCGGCTCGCGGAGGACCTACTAAGTATTGATTTTCATAATGTTTTTCTCACATGTTAAAAGACTTTTGTCCATCAATTTTTGGCTCAATTTTTGTTTTATTAAAAAGTTCATGACACCTGATGAATTGTCAAATCCATCTTTTTGTAATGTTAAAATTAGAGAGCTCTTTAAATTAGAGAACTCTTTAATAAGCTCTTTAAATCTTTTAACCGTTTGCAAATTGCTCGGATTATACAAAGATATACAAAGAATAAACTTCTAAAAACCAACGTTAAAAGACTTTTGTCCATGACTAGTTTTCTATGATTTATGAGAGAAAAATAGGCAAAGCAAGTTAATGAATTTGCCAAAATTGAGAAGTAAACCATTTTTTTTCCACTCGTTTTTTCTAAATCCACCCAATTTCAGGTCAAATTCTGACAGCTTTGGCGCCAAATTCGGAGCGTGCACAGAAATTTCACACCTATCACTTTATGTGCACCTATTGTCAAAAGGTTTGGAAGAGCTCGTCGTTAATCGTCTTTCAATTTAAAGCCTCTTTTGCACTAAAATTGATAGTAGAATCTAAATGATAAAAAACTATAAAAGAAAAAACAAAAATCATACAGAATTTTCAATATTTATGGGAGAATTTTGAGGGTCGTTGATTCGCTCTCAAATAATGATTTATGAAAAAAATCGTCAAGAAAATTGCATAGGAGTTGGAAAAAACTCGATTATTTTCTAGATTTTCAAGATTTTCTAGGTTATTTTTATAGTTTACTAAATTTTATATTCTAAAAATCGATTTATTGAAACTTGACTAAACTAAATTTCACCAAAAGAAGTCAAATCTCAGTTGTTCTTGTTTAACGATGAGAAAATTCTCACTATTTAACAGTTTTCGAATCTACGGGACATTAAAAGTGTTAGAATCATGTTTCAGTTTTGGTTCTTTGGATTTTTACGGTTATCAGGGAGGGGGGGAGGTCGAGCGATTATCGGGAAGGGGGCGAGTTTTTGACCCTTTTGCAGGCCGATTTTAGATAGGTTTTTCTTAATAACTTTTAATGAAACAAATAGTTTCTGAAAGTTAACGTTCTAAGCTATCTAAATCTTATTAAAGCATTTTGATCTGACAAGTTTAAGGTGGTTAAAAATGAGCTGCAAGTTGGCCTCGCCTCTCTCGGCTCCCCGTTAACCGTAAAGCACCGGTTCTTTCAAGAAAACTTAACAAGAGTTGTCTCTTGTTAACAACTTATGCCACAGTAGGCGTTTCTAGGCAAGCAACAGCGCAAAAGACAATCATTTTGAATGAAAAGTAACTTAAATTTGTTAACGTTAGGCGTATTGGATAAGTTTGTTTCCTTTTTGGCATTAAACTTGTACAAAATGAGCTCTAAATCTAGTAACTGGCCCCCATAAATATTGAATATCCTGCATAGAAAAAAAGCAAACTACAGTAGATTTAATAAGCAAGTCTACCTTCTGGAAAACTCGTCGTATTTTTTTGTCTTTTAAGTATTGAGGGTTGGAAGGTAAGTTCTGTCCGTTTCTTTTTGGGAGAGGTTCTTAAACTCAACCAATCTACATGTGTTATATCTCATTCGAAAGCTCAATTCAAGGCGGAAAAAGGGGGAAAACCGTTTTTGAATTCATATAGTTTTCAAGTTTTTACAGGTGTTTTAGTGAGCTCAGTGAGACTCAAAAAAGTGCCGAAATTGCGTTTCGATAGTTTTTTTCTTTGGCAACATAGGCTAAAAACACGTTATTTGTGCTCAGCGCATTAAATTACCCTTAGAAAGTCATTTTTGAGATTTTTGCAAAAAAAAGTCAAAATTATTGTCACGAGCCGGAATCGAACCCTTGACCTTTTGGGTAGTAGCCGTCGCGTCGTTTTTTTTGCCCGTTTTCTTTGCTTTGCTCTTTCCTTTCTTCCTTTGTCTGCACCTTTTACCTAAAAAAAAATTACAATAAACAAAAATCAATTAACAAAACGGGTCAAACAAAACAAATGACTCACTTCAAAAAAAAGGTTTTTGCCCTTTTTTCCGCCTTGAATTCAACTTTCGAATGAGTTTTCGAAGTCGAAAAACACGTGTAGATTGGTTTAGTTTAAGAAACCTCTTTTTCGAATTCGAAAAACCTGAGTTTCTTTCCCAAAAAGAAACGAACATAACTTACTTTCCAATCCAATCGAAACAAGCTGTACGTATGTCAGTCAGGGTGAAAAAATCATAGAATAAAGTCGGCGGTAGACATGTATTATCGATTCTAATGTGTACCCATCGATCTTCAATCAAATACCGAGTCTAAATGATTCCGAAAGTTACAGTAAACCAGCAGACCCCGACATTTTCTAGGCTCTCAACATGCACGGCACTTACCGAGAGCACGATCGGAAACCGTACTGTCACGATTGTTTCTACAAGCTCTACAACGGACTTCAATATTGCCCAGACGAGCATCAGAAACAAATCGATAAACTTATCTAAAGTGATTCAAATTCATTACAAGATCATTTTTGTAGTCGTTTGATTTTTTTCCTTTTACAAACACATTCACATCATCTTTCTTCTCTCGTGCCTTTTTGAGACTCTTTTTTTTCTTTTTAATTTGTGCAAAAATTCTAGTCGATTGGATTGTATCTTTTTAACTTGATAAACTTTAATTCTGGATTAGCATGTGAATACTCGGCAACCAGAGGAAAATGAAAAGTTTTTGCTATCAAAAACCCGAGACAAAATATACAAATTGACCAAATAGTTAAAAATTAGATAAGTATCTGAAACTATCGTGTATCAGACTAGATATTAGTCTGACAAAAGGCTCTACTGACAATTCGTCAGGCTTTGGTACCGACAATTCACTCCAGATATGACTCTGTAATAAGTGTACGACTGACTCTCTTTAATCTTTAAGTCAACATTAATTCATCATTCATTATAAACTTTCCTAAAAAAACGATTCAAAGGTAACCCGTAACAAAGGACCACGAAATCCAAAGAAAGATTAAATCTGAAAATACTTTGGAAATTTCTCTGAAGGAATGAAAGCAAAACAATCAACACCGCATGAGAAAAACAAAACAAAATATGACAAGAACAAAGTGAAATTAAATTAATAACAGAAAGAAATGACAAAGCTCAAGCATTTCAAAAATTTGCATAATCGATTAATTTACTTTTCGTGGCGCATCTTCTTTGCGTGACCCGTTGAGCGACTTCCTTCGGGTCGGCACTTCTTCAGCTCCTCTTTCGTCGGTTTCTTCTCGGTCGTTTCGTCGTGGTGCCGCTTTTCGACGTTTCTGTGCTCTCCTTCATCATCTCTTTCTCTTTCTCTTTGTCGCTGCTCCAATGGTTTGATGATGGCACGCTGGATTGGCAATCGAGTTTTCATTTCCTAAAAGTGAACAGTTTTAACCAGGAAACTTTTCGAAACAAAAACCTTCCAATGTTGCTGCGTGAATGCGAAAATCGTTTGCTGGTGAAGTGGCTCCTTTTTGGCGCTTTCCTGGATCTTCCTTTGTTTCTCCGGAGGTACCCAAACTAAAACTTTGCATAAAATAAAATTAAAATTGTCTAAAGTCATACAAAAACCCACCCAAGATTGGAAGGCCAGTCCGTGTGTCTTTGCGAAGTAGCATGCTTGCATCTCGTAGCAGAAACGAGACATGAAACATGTTCTCGACCTTAAAAAAAGCTTTAACAGGTTTCACGAAACAAACTTACTGTGCGTCCAAAATCGTCGGGATCAAAGATAAATTCGTAGTAGTTGCAAGAAGTGGACTCTGTCTTCTTGAGCAAGCGGAGGAACGTCTTTCGGATAAAATCAAGCTAAAATAATATTTGATCATTGTTAGAAATCAAAGCCAACTAACCTCAATGGTGACCGATTGATCCTCACCCATGTTTTCACCTTTCTCCTAAAAATTATCACATTACATAATGATTTACTCCTTTACTACCTTTTGCTCGAGAATCACCGCCGCTTCTTTCTTTTGTCGTTGTACTTGTTTATCCATTTTCTCCTTCTTTTTCTTGGCAATCGTAGGTTGAAGTTCGGCATTGGTTAGAAGAGGGCGTCTAAAATTAAAAAGTTTCTAAGACAATAAGCTTCAAAATACAGGTAGCCAATTCCACTGACATTCCTCACGAGTTCGTAGTTGTGGCTAATCGCTGCCCATTGTCGTCGTGTAAGCTAAATAGAATATAGATGAATAACAACGTAAACAACTTCAATTATTAAAAACTAGACAATTAAGCAACTCAATGAGTAAAAGAGGCTAATAAGCATCTTCAGCAATCAGCTTAAAGTAAAAAGTCAACTTACTTCGGAGTTGGTCAGGCGTCCCTTCAATAGCGGCAGCTCCTCTTCATCCTCCTCCTCATCATCGTCTAGTACGAGCAGCGGGTTGACGTCGTGTTTTGGCAGTGGCGGGACATTGTCTGCCAGCTTCTTTGTATATCCAACCTAAAATAAATTAAAAATGAACTCATAAGAAAGTTACCATCTTTTCCGCAAAAATTTTGACGTTGAGCCGTTTGTCCGCTTGATGTTCCTAAAAATTTGTTTTCAAAAGACTTTAAATATAATTTACCTGCAACATTTTCACTCGCTCGCGCATCAAATGAACGTTTTCCACCATGTAGCACGCATCGAGGGCAACTTCTTTTCCCGACGAAAGCTAAAAGAAATGGAACTAGTAATGTTTCAAAAATCTTTACAAGCTTCAGATCTTCCGATGTCTCCTCGAGGTTGTTGACAATTTTAGCGTCAAGCACATCCAACTTCTCTCCAGTTGCCACCCGTTCACCAGCATCTAAACAATAAGATTTAATCCTGGATTGGTTTATTTGAAAAGCAATATCAAAAAAACTCTACCTTTCATGAAATGAAGCAATTGATCGTACTTGACGCGCGTTTTCTTCTGGCGGACAAATCGTTCTCCGAGTGACATGCTCTTTACATCGTTCAAGATTTCGTTAGCGAGTCGATTCTAAAATTAAAGTATCATAAAAGATAAAGATAAATCTTATCAGTTCCAAAGTTGTTTTAAAAAATCAGTCTCTAACTATTGAACCATATACAAAAAACTCACATCCTCAGCACTAAACGATCGATTCAGTTGAGATTGAGCGTCGGTTTGGCTAGATGTAGAGTCAGCCTGTTGCGTGGACGAGTGTGTGGGCTGATGTCTAAGGCGATTCCCTCGATCGCTACCCGTCATCACTAAAATTTATTAAATTTGTAAGCATAAAACTGAGAACACGACAACAAGTGAGAAATTACACAACATGGTGGAAAAAAGTATTGAGCCCCAGACCGTTTTTACTTTTCGCTTCAAAAAATCTCTATCACTAGATTCTAGATAGATTCTATTAAGTTGATGCATAAGTCTTTTTGTTCCTTTTCGTCTGCCGTTTCAAGCCAACAAATGCACCAATTAAACTACGGTTGATTTCATTAGAAAAACCAATTATTTTTCTGCAAAATAACATTAAAACGGGTTTAAAAATATTTTATGCCTGGATTTTCTTGAGAGTATGAAGTCGGGTAGTCAAAAAGGGCTAACTAGATGATGCGGTTTAGACACCTTAGCTAAAGAAAACCTATCTTCGTGTCAATAGATAAAAGATAGAGAAAAAAAACGTTTGATATTTCGCCAAAATTTCAGAGAAATTCATTCAGCCAATTTTTCCGTAGAGTTTTTTATAGATTTTTACGAAAAAGGCGTTTTTCACTCTCGAATTTGCTTGAAAGTGAACCGAAATTGATTTAAAAAGATGGAAATTTAACAAAAAAACACTTTTTTTATAGAGCAAACTATAGATTAATTGGTGAATTTGTTACTTTTTAACAGAAGTACGAAAAAAACGAAAAGACTTATGCATCAACCTATTAGATAGATTCTAGATAGATTTCTAGAAACTAGAAGAACCAAGCTTCACAATGTTAACGAAAAAAACATATGTACACAATATTTGTAAAAACCAGCGGAAAACCGTAATGTTATAAAAACTTTTTAATTGCAAAGTTTCTTTAACGAGAAAAAAAGGCTGGACCTTAGTTTACCCTCCCGCCAGCCAATGACCACCAAAAGTGGTTTTTCTGACTCAGTTTTTTGCGCTGATTACGAATATCTACATTTCATCGCACTCCACATTCATCTACAAACGAATGGAGGCACTTATTAAAGCCCGAGATGGCCCAACAAAATATTGAATTCTTCTTTTTCGACAGGGGCTCAATACTTTTTTCCGCCGGTTTTTACAAATATTTTGTACATGTTTTTTCTCGTTAAACAAACTTTGCAATTTAAAAGTTTTTATAACATTACGAAGCTTAGTTGTTTTAGTTTCTAGAAATTTAGAACGGATTCAAAAAAATTTCGATAGCAAAAAGTAAAAACAGTCTGGGGGCTCAGTACTTTTTCCACCACTGTACAAAGTAAATGCTTAGCAATTAAAGTTCTTGAATTGCATCATATTTTTCGTTTTCCCCAATCTCGTGGCGTCCATTGGAGTCTTCTCGGATCGATTCGCACTTTGATTTTCCGCTGCATTTTCTCGTAAACATGTTTGATTTCGTCGGTAATAACTATCACATATTGACCATGATAATATTTGTAGAGATTCAATTGTTGCAGAGTGGAGATCACGTCTTCTTTCCTAATTGAGGTCATAGTTGAAAGATCGACAACCGAAAGCATTGGCCGCTCTTGACCATTACCCTGCCAAGTCGTTTTGTACTCGATGAGCTTCTCAATAATTGTTGCTGACCAAAAACTTCGATATGATAAAAGGCCAAGATCAGAGAGTGGCTTCTCCGGAGATCCTGTTTTACCTTCCCTCTTGCTCAATTCGTAGCTAAACTCGATCAACAGGCGACCATATCCTTTCTTTTGATAAGGCGGTAGGACGAGAATGCACGCCACATTGTACTCATCTGCCGATTCCTTTTCTTTTGAAAAATAGCCGACAATGTGAAAACCTCGATCATCTTTCTCAGCCATTACATAGAAAAGAAATGGATCCGTGTCGTAGTAGAGAGTTTTGTGGTCAAGGAAGAGTTTGGCCAGCAAGCACAGATTCTGAGCATAGAACTTATTCCGTCGTCCATCCACTTCAAAGAATGAAAGATTGTCATTCCGATAAATTTCGTTTCCTGGTGGATGCTTGATTCTGCACTTCTCCAAGTGCCTCCTCAAACAAGTTGCACTTTTCAAGAATTTCAAACAAAACTCGCAGAGGTAAATCGCCGGTAATCGTGTGAGCTCGACAGGATATGGCGAAAAGTACCAAGGAACCATGCGAAACCTTCCCAACTCGACCATTTCAATGTTTCGAATCCTCGTCAACGCATCTTCACTGTGCCCAACCATTGACATTGATCCAGATGTTCGCGGCACGGATGTTGATGGTTGCACTTGATGAGCAAGAAAGGGGGTCGGACTTGCTGGCGCCTCATCTTCGTCCAATTTCGGTCGTCGAGCTGGTGGCGGCTGAATGGTCGGCATTTTCTTCTGCGGCAAGTCTTGAACAAGAGCTCCAACGCTCGTCTCCAGTTGCGTCTCAGCAATTGGGGTCACCATTTCCCTCGGTGCCACAGCTCCTTTGCGCACATTCTTCGTCGCCGCCTTGAGTGTGTCCAGTCGAAGGGCTCGCTCGTCCACCCATTCATCCAATCGTCGATTGCATTCGATGTAGTGCACGTAAAGCTTGTAACCGTGAGGAGTCTTTCGAATCGACAGCACTTCCGCTTCCCGAACGTCCTCCGAATTGCCCATTTTCACCATCAAGCGGCATCCCTCGGTCACTCGATCGATCGTCATCTTGAAATTTCCATTCATCGATGGATGAGCCGAGGTTCCCTCTTCGTCCCACCTCATGCTCATATCCGAATCGGGTTCTAAAATTGAAAAATTACTTTCAAACGCATTAAAGATGTGTTTTAACATGAAAAAAATCAAAAACATCAAAAAAACAGTCGCGATAATGAAGGAAAAGGTCTAATTCAAGTCTTATCCGTCAAAGATCAAAAGATTTCTCTATTCTAAAGGTTAAGTTCAAACTGGCAAGTTTGTCAAAGCAAAATAAGCATTTCAGACAAATTTCAAGCAATTTCCAAGAATCTTTTGCATCAATTTCACAAGAAACATTCAAAAATTTTCTCTAGAAGTGAATCCGCCTTCGAAAAATGTGTCCACTTTTTGTTTAAGGGTTAAAGTTTACCCTGAAAAAAGCAGACTTGCAAAATTGTTAGCAAAAGACTAAATTTATTAAGAAACCTATCGCAAAATGGTTACTCGAGAAAAATTTTTAGCACAAAAAGAATTTTCAATTTCCCTGCATTTCACGAGAAGATATAAACGGATCGTTGCTTGTTTGGGGGCGTAGGTGAAAGGGAAAAAGGGGTGGAGAGAAAGGGAACAATTTCTCGAAAAAATGCCGAAAAATAAAACTCGACGTCTATTTGACGGGGTATGGTAGACGCTTTAGAAAACCATCAATTCGCCGAAAAGGCTTGAGACAGGCATAGAATTCGGGGGTGGGACAAATGCGACCTTTTTTTGCGCACCTGGACATTTGCGCACCTTTTTTTTTGCTGGAAAATTTTTCCATATAAGGGAATCGTATGCGTAGATTCCGAATTTCGACAAATCAGACCTCGCTGACACGTCAAATTTGGGCTAAAAGGCAAAAACTGCGGAAAAGCGTTAAGTTGCTTAGTTTTTGTCTTTTAGCCCAAATTTGACGTGTCAGCGAGGTCTGATTTGCTTTGATTTGTCGAAATTCGGAATCTACACATACGATTCCCTAGTATGGAAACATTTTTGAAGCTCTACGACCTTTCCTAAGGCCTTTTCCAGCAAAAAAAGGTGCGCAAAAAAAGTCCCCCCAAAAAAAAGGTGCGCATTTGTCCCATAGAATTCACACATTACCATCACCCCTAAAGCTACCGGTATCACACCTAAATCACGGTAATTGCGGTAAGAGAGCTTTGTCGACAGTACCAGACTTATTTTTCGTACTTGCGTTCATGTAAAAGCATTCTTTCTGGCGCACCCACGTAACTTTTGTTTGATCTTGTCAACCTGTGCCAAAGCCGCCGTGAAAATTGCCAGAAACGAAATTAGAGCATACGAAATTTGCGCCCAAGCCAAAAACGAGAATTTTCCGCCGAAAAACCAGAAGCGAGAATTGCGCAAAGAAATTTGCGTGCCGAATTTTGTGCCGCCGAATTTTACGTTGCGAAATTTGCGTTATTTCATTGAGACTTTACCTTGCTTTTTGATGACGCAGAATCGAATTTAAGTTCAACCACAATGACTATAGCTTTTTAAATGCGAACATTTTTGCTTGAGTGCTTAGCACACGGTTGTTTATTGGTGTTTAGGTTACTCAAATGTTGGTGTTTCTTTTTGAAGGATGCATTTGGTTGTTTCTAGTGCTGGGCTATTCGTTTATTCGGCGCAATTTTTCGTTTGGTGTGAGCAGTTTTTTTGAGTATAAACTTAGACTACGCGACGCTCCTGTTGGAGAGCTTCTTTTAGCTTCTATTAGAGTATTTATGGTATTTAATTGCTGAATTTGTTATTTTTCAACGAAAGTATGAAAAGGAACGAAAAGACTTTCTGAAAAGTCTAATAAAACGTAGCCTTTAGGCTGACAATGAAAAGAGAGAGGTCGTTGTTTTGCGGGGAATGAAGGGGAAAAGAGCCGGGCATCCATTAGAGATTCCTCTCAAAGAAAACGGGACAAAAAGGAGAATATAGCAGAGATATCAAGCCGAAAAGAGAGAGCACAGAATAGGGCCGATAGGGCCAGTTCGCTAAAGAGTGGAAAGAGCCGCTAGGGGTCTATGCCTCAGTCATTGCATGTGCAAAAGCCCCTTCTTTTGCCTTGAAATCAAGTCGACTCAGCGCTTCTTTTTCTCTTTATTCTTCTTTTTTCGACAAACGCATAGATCTTGTTCCAATGTGGCCCTCCTGGGCTGTTTTTTTGCCCTTTAGCGATTAATTCCAATGAATTCGTTTGAGTCGTCTCATGACTTTTAGTCAATATCTAGCTTTGCCTTTGATAATTGTCCATTTCTCAAAGGTTTTCAAAGAAGACTTGCAATTTTTCAATCATTCAATTATCACAAGCGTTTTCCCAGAACTTACAAGATATCTAAGGTTTCAAAAAAAATTGAATAAACATTGTAAAACTCATTAAGAAAGTCAACACCAGTTTTGTCTAGTTTTTATCGATTTTTTGCTGAAATTTGGAAATTTCTAACAATCTAGCATTATCTAGATTGTTAGAATTTTAGATTTTTAAAAAAATTTACAAAGATTTTACAAAGAATCGAGTGCACTAGACACATATAAACATTCGAGTACAGAGTACAACTAAATACCGTAAATACTCTAATAGAACTTTGTCTACCGTATAGTCTTATCATATTTTAGTGTTATCTAACTATAATATTACCGTATTTTGACACATACAAGTACTCTTTTACCTTTTATTACAACTTATTACAGCTTATTACAGCTTATTACCAGCTTATTACAGCTTATGACCAGCTTATTACATAGCAGTATGTACTAGGTAATAAAATCATCGTGCTCCGTATCTAACTACAGTATTACTGTCTAGTATTACTGTCTAGTATTACTCTCTAGTATTAGTGTCTCGTATTACTGTCTAGTATTACTGTAATTTAGTATAACCCTATCCAAGTATGATCAATATTAAAAGCTTCAAAGGGGGGAAATCAATCAATTGTACTGACTAGAGTGTGCTCCTTGTTGTCAGACAAATTTTCATTGACAACTTTTTTGTCAGACAATTGATCCGACAACTTTTTTGTCAGACAATTGATCCGACAAACTTCCGACAACGCGTTTTCTAAAAGGTGCGCTTTTTAAGCAAAGTTATAAAGGTCGCGCGAAAAAAATTTGCAAACTTTTCTTAAAATATAGTAATGGATCGTTTTATTTAAGGATTTAGGTTTTTTAGGGCGTGGAATTTTTTTTTGGAATGGTTCTAGTGCAAATGTAGACAATAGGCCTGGTAAATTCGGAAATAATATAATTTTTTAATAGTGTTTCTTAACTTTTCCCGTTTTAAATGTTTTCTTTAATTTTACAGAGCATTTAAAAAATTTTAAGTTTTAGCGAAAGAGTAATAGAGTTAAGGAAAGAGTAATAGAGTTAAGGAGAGAGTAATAGAGTTAAGGAGAGAGTAATAGAGTTAAGGAGAGAGTAATAGAGTTAAGGAAAGAGTAATAGAGTTAAGGAGAGAGTAATAGAGTTAAGGAGAGAGTAATAGAGTTAAGGAGAGAGTAATAGAGTTAAGGAGAGAGTAATAGAGTTAAGGAGAGAGTAATAGAGTTAAGGAAAGAGTAATAGAGTTAAGGAAAGAGTAATAGAGTTAAGGAGAGAGTAATAGAGTTAAGGAGAGAGTAATAGAGTTAAGGAGAGAGTAATAGAGTTAAGGAGAGAGTAATAGAGTTAAGGAAAGAGTAATAGAGTTAAGGAGAGAGTAATAGAGTTAAGGAGAGAGTAATAGAGTTAAGGAGAGAGTAATAGAGTTAAGGAGAGAGTAATAGAGTTAAGGAGAGAGTAATAGAGTTAAGGAGAGAGTAATAGAGTTAAGGAAAGAGTAATAGAGTTAAGGAGAGAGTAATAGAGTTAAGGAGAGAGTAATAGAGTTAAGGAGAGAGTAATAGAGTTAAGGAAAGAGTAATAGAGTTAAGGAGAGAGTAATAGAGTTAAGGAGAGAGTAATAGAGTTAAGGAGAGAGTAATAGAGTTAAGGAAAGAGTAATAGAGTTAAGGAGAGAGTAATAGAGTTAAGGAGAGAGTAATAGAGTTAAGGAGAGAGTAATAGAGTTAAGGAGAGAGTAATAGAGTTAAGGAGAGAGTAATAGAGTTAAGGAAAGAGTAATAGAAAAAAAGAGCGCAAGATTTTAATGTACATTTGCGTTTTGAAAAATTTGCTGATACAAAGCATATGATTACGGTAGCTTATCCTTGGCGCGCGCTTTTTAGAAAACGTGTTGTCTGCAAGGAACACACTCTAGCACTGACAGGTACATCAATTCTCAATCTAAGCATCAGTCCAACAATTTTAAGATCATTTTCTCAACTTTTAACTACAAAAAATTGTGTTCCAAGCCTCGTCTTTTCAATGAAATCAATCCAATTATGAGCGTCGGCGCCATTTCATTTCTTTATTCAGCCTCTTTCCCAAAGAAAAGCTCTCTTCTTCGATTTTTCCCTCCTCAAGGCATTAACCAAAGCAAATGGGCCTGGGTCTTTTTTTCTTTTTTTTCTCTCTTTCCTAAAGTTCCCAGGAGAAACACGAGGACAACTGTCACTTGGGTAAATTCTTCAATTCTTTATATTGTCTTTACTCTTTTTAATTATCAATGCCAATTTATCATCTTAAATATAAATTAATACTAATAAAGTTGGGAGACCTAAATTTTTGATTTCTCCACGCTTTCTAAAGTAATCGATGACGCTGATCGTGAATTTGACGTTTAAAACGCGTGTTGTCAATTCACTTTTCAAGTTATTAAAAAGTTCCAACAAATTCCATGTTTTTAAATGCCAATCGCACATTTTAAATGCAAAAACAGCTTGTCAGGATGCCAAGCAGGCTTGCAGGCGGAAAATATGGATATACTTTTAATTTTCAGAAACAAAGGCAACAAATGATTTGGGCTAAAAGGCAAAAACTGCGGAAAAGCGTTAAGTTGAGTAGTTTTTGCCTTTTAGCTCAAATTTAACGTGTCAGCGAGGTCTGATTTGCTTTGATTTGTCGAAATTCGGAATCTACGCATACGATTCCCTAGTATGGACACGTTAAATTTGAGCTAAAAGGCAAAAACTACGCAACTT